AAAAAATATATATCTCTTGCAGTGATAGGTTCGGATAGAAACCAGCGCCAAAAACATGTTCATTTGGGTATGGGTCAAAATTACACCACCATGGGACCACAGGTTTAATCCATGTTTCCCTTTACCAGGGTTCCCATTTTGGGGTTACCATATTTTCGACCCGCACCCATTTCAGCCAAAGGCGAGGGTCTTGCGGTGTCGCCGTTCCGGGCTGCCAGCAGCAGCTCCTTGGCTTCCGCCTCTTCGTATGGGCGGATGATCGCTGTCAGCTCCGCATCGACCCAAGGCCTCTCGGGGCCCAGGATCTCATCGCCACCTCGGGCTGGTCCCGTCCCTCTCACAAACGTGTCCCAAACATTGCTGGACTTGGCCACTAAACTCGTCCTTCCAAAAAGTAAAATAAGTCCAGGGACTCGGGAAGTGGGAGATGTTCATAGTTCATACTGCATAAATACGATCCATATGAAACTAGGTAGAAGTAATCTTTTGGTTGCTGCTCACTTGCTCATCCCAAGCCTGCAAATACATATGCAAATGTGTGTGCGCGCGTGTTTGTCAGAGTGTGCGGATAAGCACAAGGAGCAGACAGTGATGCTTGTGATAGATTCAATTGGGTCATTGGAATTGAAAGGGTGGGCTCTGATGCAGAATTTCATCATGGATCTGATTCAAGAAGCCATTTCGCCTCGCTCAAAGAACAATGTGACGAAGTTTAAATTTTGCCTGCGTTACGTGACCCGCAAAACAGCTGCACAAAACTTGCAACTGCTGTGGGTCAAATGGACTGCATTTGCTCGCAGACGTGGACTCACAATACAACGTGATCGCCGCTGCTGTGGCTGAGTTTCCCAATGATGAGCATGCTATTGCTGACAGAGACCGCGTTCTCGTGCTTATGACAGACGGTGTGGATGGACCCATGGTCTCCCAAAATGGTCGTGAGACCTCAAATGGGCAAATTCTACAATCGTCCCCAGGACTGAATGCAGGATCCCCAGGTAGAAACATGGTGAGCGCGGTTCACCCCAGGTCCAGGTGAGCTCATACAACGCAGCCAAATTCCGCTCTGGTTTGGAGGTATGTAATTCTCAAGGAACACCTCTTGCGTTGTTCAGCAAAAACTTGCAACATGGCGGGTGTTTGGAGTAAGTTAACTTCAAGGAATTGCCAAAGCCCAGAGTTCACAGGGGCATTTGATCACTTGAAGTGCTGAATCGGTCTGCCGAAATAGCGAGGCCAACATATGTTATGTCCTCTTGGCTCACTTCCTATGAGAAATGGTACCGCTGTGATCCCACAAAGCTCAAAGTCCAGAAACCGGTTGGACATGAGGCCATGGTAACTTGGTCGAAGACTTAGCTCCCCACAAAAAAAGAAAAGACAACAAACAACAAACAACAAACAACACATGAATCTGACACCCCTCAGTGAACCCCACAATGCCACCAGTGGCTCCTTGTTGCGCTGAGGAAAGTTTCGGCCGGTGCTTGGCCAGACTTTGCTGAGGTAGCTTCTGAGCTCGGATCAAGCCGGAAGATAGTTTCAAAACTGGGCTCCCTGCTAAAAGTCTAGCTGAACCCCCCACTAAGCTTCAAAAAACAAAACCCGAAAAACAAATTGAGGACACGGGTGGGAACCTATTGCGGGGCATTTGGGGGGTAAAGCCGTGCCGTGGCACACACCAGCGCCAGCTGGTGGAAGTTCGGCACCTGCAGCTGCCGCGCCACGTGGCGCCGCAGGACATCGAAGAAGTCCTCGCCTCGCGCCGAAGCCGCTGTCCAGGTGCCGAACTGGGCCTCAGGGGCAACCAGATCTTGGGAACTGCGAGAGAGGAAGACCCGAGGACCCGAGGTGAAAAAGGAAGAAACAAAAACACAAGGGTTTTTGCACCACTGGGAATATGAAATTGTTATTCCAGTTTTTTTGTGTTTGAAAGGGATCGATTTTGTTTATTAAAAACAAGGGCATTCAGTTCCCCCAGTTCTTCCCAGTGCCAAGATATTGCCAGGAAATGATACAGGAACGTCATCACAACGTCTATTTCCAGAACCTTACGCAGAGTTGGGAGCCTCAAGTCAAAGAAAGGATCTCGGCCTTTGAACCTCAGTCTTTGCCCCTGCGCTTCTTAGTACAAAACAACATCCAGGATGGCATTGCAGTTGCAAGGAAGTATTGCCAGATACCGGCCCCCAGAGGAGGATCTTGTGGTGCGAAACATCCATCTGTGTCCCTTCTAGGTCCACTTTGTGTGTGTGGACCATGAGCTCGCCGATCGCAAGCATCCGTTCCAACAACATGAGAATGGATCTGTGGGGACACCTGGCCATCAAAACCCGCCGTAGAGGGAGCAAGAAACAACAAACTGGCGATGCAAAGATGGATTCCCAGGCACATGGATGATGCTTAAAGAAGAGAACCTAAGCCACTTGGATTTGGAAACATCCGGCTCTGGTCGGCCAGCTTGTAAGATGTCCTGAGTTCCAGGAGTTTGCTTGTTGAACCCTTTGAATCGATGGTTTCCACCCACAATCCCCCCCACCCCACCGCTAGGGGGGAGTCCCGTGGATAGTGGTTTGGTCTTAGATTAATGAAACTCCAAACGGAACTCTGAATGGTTCTCCCTTTAGACGCCCCCTTTTTTGAAGAAGTCTAGCTGGACTCGCACAGATTGAGCTATCTCAACATCTTTCAGAGGGAATCGGTCTAAACCTGGGTGACCCGTTCAATTCTTCCTAAAAGCTGGGTTCCTTTCGGATGCTACACGCATGACGGTCCTTCGGTGCAAGCGATCAGAACGTGTAAACGGCCCGCCTCGGTCATCACATCCTCACCAGTGACTTTGCGCACGCGGCCCATGGCCGAGGTGGCGAAGGTGGCAACGAGCGGAGAGCTTCGGTGGTCTTGTGGCCATATGGGTCTGTCCTTTTTGAGGGTATCCTTGTTGGGGCTTGGTTGAAAGGAAAACCAAAAGGAAGCCTACCATTTTGGGGGCGTCCCGGGTCCCCTGAACAAAGGCGAGGCAGCATATGGGTGAAAGGCTTTACCTTCCTTCGGACACAGCTTTTTTGTCTGAACTTCTAGCTTTCCAATGGAGATGACCCCTCCCTGTGCGCCCGCAGCAGCCTTTTTCGGGCTGGGGGAACTCCAAGTCCAGGCTTCTCAAATCTGACAATTGACCTTGGTATGGTAGCAAACAACTTTGCTTCTACACCCTCACAACAACTGGACGGGGCCCAAGGTGACATAAGACACATGGTCAGGAGCGGTAAAGTCACGCTCAGACAGAGTCAAAGCTTTTTCCGCCAAGGTTCTCGAGGAGGGATTCCCAACCCTTGGCAATATAGGGTCTCCCCAACATCACGCTATAAATATAATGGCAGTGTTCTCTGGAAACTTCCCGCACTGGCCCACTAAATGGGGCAACAGCAAAACCACGAAATGGGTTCTGTTCGAACCGCTCTAGGGCTTTGTCCGATCCCTGGTGCCTTTGAAGCTGAACGTTGCGACGGACACGTTCGGAAACATCCTCAACATCAGCGAGCCCTTTCATGTGAGACCAGCTCAAAAGGCAACTGCGAACACACAATTCACACACCAAAAAAGCAGTTGAATCTCCAAGCAATCAACCAACTGAACATGCCACGCGCTAAATAGTTGGCTTTGGAACATCAGAAATACCGAGCCCCTGTGGTAAATTAGCAAATCTATGCGGCTTATTTGTCAGTAGTTGGGCTTCATCTATCCCAAGTGGTGTGGATTTTGTCCATTCACAGTAAGCACCAAAACATCTTAATACGCCCCTCCCCTTGCCCATGAATTTGTGGTAAGGAACAGGTTAAGCAGCCACCCGTGTCTTGATGGAAACCAGGCTCGGAGCCGACTTCTTTCCCCCTTGCCTGCGAAGTAACGGAAGGAACCCAATAAGTAGCCCCCCCCCCCTCCAAAAGGAGTTCCTCTACAAATGAGTTTCTGGGTATATAGGTCAGTTTGCGGGGGAGCAACACTTTCACCTAGCATCACCCTTGCCAAGGGAGATTCACCCTCAATGGGCCAAAAAGGTGATGCTTGAAACCACAAAAAGGGCAATATAGGAACCCCCCCCCGCATCATTTCAAAATATCTCGGCAGAACATGCGGTTCTCTCCTCTCTTATATTTCCCAATAAGTTCCCCCTTAAACATCACCAAGAGATACCAAGAGGTAGCTCAGCCAAGCTAGGTCCCAACAAAAACTGACCTTTGAACTAGCTCAAAAGCCGAACCAAACGATGTGTTTACCAGGGCTCTGCGAGCTTTAAACAACACATAGGCTATGGAGCGAAGATCACCAGGCAGCAAGCGTAAAATCTTAATGGGGAGTTGTGGGGGAGCGAAAACCAACTAAAGTTTGGGGCGCAAGCGAATATGGTTAGGGGATGATCTTTGCGGGTAGTTTCTCGTGTAAGGATCTAACTAGCGTTGAAACTTGGGACAATGGTACTTCCGCCCGAAAAGGCTCAAATTCAGACGTGAGACCCAACCAAAAACATACAGCTAAAACAATCAAAGCAAACGTCCCCCAAGAAAAGAGCACGAAACCTCCCATCACAGACCAGACATTGCGCATATGATTGCTTCTTGGGGCACAAAAGCTGTCGAGACATTAAAACCGGAATCTTTAGACCCGAAAAAAAAAAAGAAGGAACCCATGTCGAGGTCCAGACCACTCCTGGTCCTTTCTGCTTAAATCTAAAGCCGTGGAGCCATGGGGGGCTTCCCCACTGCTTCTGCTAGCCTGGTGGCTCGAAGGCTTGAAGTCGACCCCCGACGAAAAATGAGTCTTTGGCCCAGACAGAAGGAGACCCGCCGGGCCCCGAAAAGAAGGAAATGGGCGCTCGGCTCTTTTGGTCGCCGAGAAAATCAGAGAAGAAACACAATTCTACCAAAAAGAAATGTTGAACCAACGGACTTGCACTGCCTGTTTTCTGGCATACCCAGTTCCCAGATCCCTGTTCGAGGGGCTTCTCCGCCAGCTGACGCGCGATGCGGGCCGGAATGGTGAGATTGTCCTGCGGAAATCTGGCGGAAATTTCTGGCGGAGCCGAGATGGAAACCGTCTCCAAAAAAACCGAAACAAGAGCCACCAACTGGAGTCGAGTATTTCGAGCATTAGCAGTATTTGATATGTTTGTAATGTTTGAAGCATTTTGGAGTATGCGGAATTATTTGGAGTGGGTGTGTGGGGTAAGGTGAAGGTCCCTCTCTGCAAGGTTCCCTACCATGCTTGCCAACATGCTTATCCGATCTACTATGGCAAGATCTGAGCCACGGTCAGCACGGCGAAGTTTCACGCCCAATTTCCTCATTGTATTTTGGGGCTCGCGTGTCCCATGACATCCCCTTTGCCATCGCGGATATCTGCAAATAGTCACTGTCGCTCACATGTAGAATACAAGGGGCTAAATTTGTCACACGTGTTTCTTGTATGATGACTTAACTTGGAGTTAGGGTGCTTTGCAATCCTTGGCAGGTGTGCAAACAACTTGTTTGTTGAAGCCACCCACTAAACATGCACAGCACGAAACACCTAAAGATTTGTTTTTGAAACAGGGTTTGCCTTTTCGACTGAAATGAACAGCCTCCCTTGAAAAGGGTTTCTACACTACCAGGGTGCTTATTTATCCCATAAACAGTGGAAAAGGCAAACCATGAATTTTGCAAACGGACAAACAACATAAAATACATAGAGCGATACACAATGCCGAAAACCCTGACGAGTCCCCCACGACCTCATCCGAGCTACGGCACCTAGGTTACACTGGTGGCAATTTGAGACCTTTGGTCTTCTCAGCTGCCTCCCATCCCAAAAATCGTGTCTTTGACCCGGGTCCTTGTTTAGTGACACTTCTCCTTCTTGATTGGATTGGGAAACTAGAAATCCAAAGAAGTCCAAACCTTTTGTTTGCCAACAACATGGTCTTCCCAAAAAGTATAAGGTCCAAAGCTCGGGAAGTAAGTCTCACTGGTCTTTGCATACGTGTTTAGAATGAATGTTTATTCTGTTCATTGTTAGGGTGCTGCAAAAAACCGTCAAATCAGACCCCCAAAGATGTGGGTGTCCATTTGGTTTCCCTTTAAACCAACCTGAAAAGTGCATCCTCAAAAAAGTCACACCCATTCTGTCCATTTCACACGAGTTCCCAGGAGCCTCTGAGAAGAATAGATTATGGGGAAGGTACGGCTAGAATTGTAATGACACCGCGGGACAATTGGGGCCCATGGTCGGCTACCCAAAGACCCCCAACAACCAGTCCCTTCTTGGGACCTGCGTCTCGTGAGGGGATGATCGAAGCCTCCTTGGCAGTGTTCTTTGAATGTGGTTTGAGGGTCCAGGCCCAGGTGCCCTAAAATTTAGTCATGGAGCGGACGTGATCCCAGCCCCTATCAAACCCGACCCATCGTAGGTCCAGCACGTGCGAGCGCCACTTCTCGTACGGTTCCGCCCTGGTTGGTGCCGGGATCGGTTGCGGCAGAAGGGGATACACAGGGCTTGCCCTTCTGGCACCTTTATTCTCCCATTGCCTTGGGTCAAGTCCATGTGGCGCGTCTCGCCTGAAGTATCATCGAGAACCCTCCGTTGGAGACAATGGACCTCCATTGCAAGGGTTGGGATCTTAACACTTTGCGGGTTTGAGGTTCCAAAATTATTATAGGGCTAGATAGAATATGCTTCTGAGAGTCGGACAACCATATGTAGTGGTTCTTGACAAATCAAGCGATGTTGACTTTGATTGTGCGGTGAACAAACCCAGCATGCAAGCAATGGTAGCAGGTTTCAAGGGCTTCCGCCCAACCCTCCCACGTCCAGCCAAGCTGCTACAGCAGCCATGGGTTCCCCTGCCGTCTAAAGGAACTGGAAACTGAAAGTTCGAGGCTATTTTACCCGCCCCACTTCCGCAGTACATTTGGGAGAAAGTATATGGCTCAGCATCCCGCTTGGTTGGTCACCCCCTTACAAGCGAATTACGCCATCTACTTTCAGGAAAATATGCAATCTAGCAAGCACAGGCGACCGGGTTGCTAAAAGGATACTGGTGTAATCCCTAGCTTCAACCTCCACCAAAATCACGGCCGACCGGTCCCTTCTGAACGGAAAACAATGGCAATATGAACCTCAGCAGTCTGAGCATGAGCATGCACATCAATGGAACCAGATGTAGCGCCCAAAACTCACAGCCCAATTGCTGTCATTCGAAGTGTTGCTGGCGCTTCAGCTTGCCCTTGCCACTGGACCCTTTGTTCCCGCAAGCTCAGCGGACAGAGCAGACCGGACAAACCCGGTCTGGCCTCCCCAAACCGAAGCCTTCGGCATGGAAGCAAAAGGCCCCTTGCTTGTGGCAATCCGGTAGCCACACCCTCAAACTACCCATTGGATATTGCCCCCGAGCAGGGCGCTTTTCCTGTTCTTTCTTTGGGGTTGTTCGAGGGTCCAGGTGACTGGAAGCACCTCCTGAAAATCTGTGGTTCTACCCCGACCAATCCGATGCCTTTCTTCCGATTCGCTTTTGGCGTGAATCTAGGGCTACGCACATGTTCGGTAGAGATGATGTGAACCCTGACAGGAGGCAGATAAACCATGGCAAGACTTGGGTATGAGTCAAAATTTCACCAGGAATTGAACCACAGGTTTTACCAGCAGGGGACCACAGGTTTTAGTCCATTCCATTTACCAGGGCTTGCGCCATTTTGGGGTTACCCCATTTTTGACAACAGCCAAACCTATTTTCCCAACTGTCCAGCGCCTGGCGCGCGGCTCCGGCTGGAAGGCCCTACGGGAGCAATGTGATTTGGGGCCTGGTTTGATATGTGGACCCAAATAGCTGGCCTCTTTGAAGGGACATCCGCCAGTTGCAGTATCAGATGTTGAGAGCATTTTGAGGGCGCCCCATTTGGGTTGCATTTTGAAGGGCATTGTCAGGGTGGTACATCCAACCAGTATGATCCTCCTTGGACGAATCCACCGTCCACCCGCTGCATCCCAGTTACCTCAAATTTAGGCTTCCAGTCATTTAACTCAAAGGATGGTTACATTGGTTGCCCAACCAGTTTCGCATAGCCATGGTCAAAATGACTAGTACCATGAGCAATACGACTGGTTTCGTGCGAACAGGTACCCCAGTGGCCAGGTAAAAGGATCGCCTGCTTTTGGTTCCTGGCTTCAAATTGGATGATTGGATATTGCCCAAAAAACATGAGTGAATGTCCATGCTTTACATTGGTAGTTTGCGGGTCCAGGTTGATGTTGAATTGATTCTCCCCCTCCAAGCAATGCAAAAAGCCTACCTGAACCTCAAAATTCCCTTAAAAATGGGTTTGACCCCCAAAATTATGGGGTGATATCCCATTGTTATGGGTAGTTTGAGGGTCCAGGTACCAAGAAAAGTCACCACTGTGTCTGGCAGTTGCCCAACCATTCAACCGAAAGCTTACGGCATCTTCCCGAACCTTGCGGCATTTGCTCCATCACAGCTCCTGGTTTTTGCAGAACAGACCCAACCACAACCAACAGAACCAGCAACCAACAACTAAGAAGCTAGAAACTTGGAAGAAGGCCTGAAAAGAACGGGCTCATCTTTTGCGACCTGTACTAAAACTGGACCAACAAGGGAAACCAAAAGGCCAACAGGTCGGTTTTGAAAGACTGAGACAATGAAGAAAGCCAACAAACAAGAAACCATGACAAAATTGCACTTCGAACAGTGAAGGCCATATCTGCCGGCCACAGTTGCCGAAGCCTTTCCATCCAAACTCGGTTCGAGAGTTGCCATGTTTCAACTGGAAGGGTTTTCTACCCAACCCGTTTTGTTCTCAACGGGACACATACTTTTGGGGTTGCAATCTGGAGCATGTAATGTCGACCCCAGGTTCTGAACCTTGTTCTTTGGGCGGGTGTTCCCCAAAGTGATGATTCCCCACACCCGACACCCGCCCCCCAGAAACTGGGGTTGACTCCGGGGTTTCCTATTCCCTGACCCCCATTAAAAGAATGATGGACCAAATCTGGATGGAAATCCGGGAAAAGATCATGGTCCCCCATTAAAAGAATGGCTGACCCAATTATGAAAATCCTTAAATCATGGTGGTCATATCAACCCAACCTCTCAACTGGGGTTGATTAATCCGGGGTTCCCTTTGCCATGAGGATCCCGGCGGAATCTGAACCCCAACACCATATCTTCTCGCGGGCGTTCGAATCTCCGGGCCGAACCTCGCCACCGGCTCCGAACCTCGCCTCGATCCGTGCTTGGTCAACGCTCAAGCCGAATATCCGGCACTTCAAGCATCTTGGTGAACATTCAAATTCCTATGGTCAACAAGAAAACTGTTATGCCTTTGTTGAGGAGTCAACCCTAAACCATAAGCCTTTCAACTTTGCTTCATAGTTGAGGATTCAACCCACCAAGGTCAACTTTACAGCTTTTTTAGTCAACGGACTGCCTCTAAAGTTTGTAAAACTTAGTTGAAGCTCAAGGCGAACCCTACTATACTGGTCACCGGGACCCTTCTGGGAAGGTGTTCCTTCATCATTTTGTTGGATTCATCAGTGTTTCTTTGTTCATCGTATAGTAACAGATGCAAGATGCCAAACGTTGACCCAGTATACAGACATCTAAGCCGAAGGGAAATCAGTTGAACCCGGGGCAGTGGTTTGGACGTACGCAGAACTTCCATCGGCGAAGAAGGCACCCCTTGTTGGGTGCTTTGTCCCTGTGAGTTCTTTTTGGTTTTGCTGGGTGCTACATAGCGGGTCACAACCAAAACAAACTCATGTCTCGTGATCAAAGGCCGAATATGGACGCCAACCATGGCATGCCATGTGCTCGGCAGCAAGTCTCTGGGCTGATTTCCATGGGTCGAAAGGGCGTCCGAAAGCGGTGCTTGAAGGCATCCCTAGTACAAGTGACCTCACTCCGACTCTCAAAACCCCATATCTTATTATTGCAAATTGAGCGTAGACCTTTTCTGGCTTGTACAGGGAAATCAACAAATTTCAATCTGCTGATTTTGGGTGTTCCCCTTGAAGACGTGCCATGAGATCTTCAGCTTTGTGGCCTACCACGTCCAAACCGAAAGGCTCGGCAAGCGAACCGGGCTCCCGTACCCTCATGAATCGCGATCGATCGATTTGAGGAACCTCCCAAACCATGCTTTGGCACCAGTCGATGTAAAATTGTCTCCCTAACATTGCTCCGGCTCTACCATTTTTGCGATTCTTGAACCTGCACTTCGCTTGAGTTGTCCAGACTTGTGACAGCCAGTATGTGCAAATAGCATTTGAGCAGAGCCCAAAGCCATTCACGGTTGGTGCTACCAGCATGGTTATAAAGCCTGAACCCCATGAAGCCAGGTATGAACCGAACCATGAATCAAATTGACCTTTGGGGGTTTTGGGCCCTGCTCTACACATTTGCGACACGGCGACAGCACTCTGCGAGGCCCGTGCTGCCAAGTCCAACTTTTGGCCAACAAAAAACCAAGACTTCCTGAGTGGATCGTTGAGCAAAGACAGGTTGTTCGCCACTGCAATGATCCTGCCCCCCCCAAACCAACAAAACGAATGAAGCTGGTTGGAATTCACGTAAGTGTCCCGCACCCACTTCATCCCGGGTCTTTCGTGGCCAAAGAATGACTGGAATTTTCGAAATGGGTTCCGACTCCCAATTCGTTATCCAATCCAGGGGCAAGGACACCACTACAACAAGAAAAACATCTTAAGGATCTTGCGGAGACAGCCATGCCTTTACTCGTCTTGCTCCCTTCGCCCGCGCTTGAGTGAAACTGGTGAAACTACATGCTCTGGCTGGGATTTTATGTGGGGGCCTGCAGCAAGCCACGTGCAACTTCCTGATAGCCAGCCCAGGCAGCCAAGTGCATGGGTGTTCTTCCGTCATGGTCAGCTTTGTCCTTGTCAGCGCCGGCTTGCAGCAGGCAACGCACAACTTCCAAATGGCCAGACCAGGCAGCCAAGTAAATGGGTGTCCTTCCGTCATGGTCGGCTTTGTCCTTGTCAGCGCCGGCTTGCAGCAGGCAACGCACAACTTCCAAATGGCCAGACAGGACAGCCAAGTGAATGGGTGTCGTTCCGTCATGGTCGGCTTTGTCCTTGTCAGCGCTGGCTTGCAGCAGGCAACGCACAACTTCGAAATGGTCAGACCAAACAGCCAAGTAAATGGGTGTCCTTCCGTCATGGTCGGCTTTGTCCTTGTCAGCGCCGGCTTGCAGCAGGCAACGCAAAACTTCCAAATCGCCAGAACAGGCAGCCCGGTGCATGGGTGTCTTTCCGTCACAGTCGGCTTTGTGCTTGTCAGCGCCGGCTTGCAGCAGGCAACGCAAAACTTCCAAATGGCCAGACAAGACAGCCAAGTAAATGGGTGTCCTTCCGTCATGGTCGGCTGTGTCCTTGTCAGCGCCGGCTTGCAGCAGGCAACGCAAAACTTCCAGATGGCCAGACCAGGCAGCCCGGTGCATGGGTGTATTTCCGTCACGGTCGGCTTTGTGCTTGTCAACGCCGGCTTGCAGCAGGCAACGCACAACTTCCAAATGGCCAGACCAGGCAGCCAAGTAAATGGGTGTCCTTCCGTCATGGTCGGCTGTGTCCTTGTCAGCGCCGGCTTGCAGCAGGCAACGCACAACTTCCAAATGGTCAGACCAGACAGCCAAGTGTATGGGTGTCCTTCCGTCATGGTCGGCTTTGTCCTTGTCAGCGCCGGCTTGCAGCAGGCAACGCAAAACTTCCAGATGGCCAGACCAGGCAGCCCGGTGCATGGGTGTATTTCCGTCACGGTCGGCTTTGTGCTTGTCAGCGCCGGCTTGCAGCAGGCAACGCACAACTTCCAAATGGTCAGACCAGACAGCCAAGTGTATGGGTGTCTTTCCGTCATGGTCAGCTTTGTCCTTGTCAGCGCCGGCTTGCAGCAGGCAACGCAAAATCTCCAAATCGCCAGAACAGGCAGCCAACTGCAGTGGCCTCATCCTCCTTCCATCTTCATCGTCGGAGTCTGCTTCGGTGTCCGGATTCAGAGGCCTTTCCAGGAGGCCCACAACTCTTGCAAGGTCTCTGTTCAGCACTGCTTGCACTAGTGCTTTCCCGTCATCTGGCTCTGTCACGTAGGGCCGAATCACAACAGTCAGCTCTGCATCGATCCAATGGCTGTGTACTGAAAGCATTCTGTCCCCACAAACCAGCACAAGCCGCCTGAAATTCTCCACCTTTAGCTGCCTGGCCAAATGGCGCCTGAGCAAGTCAATGAAGACTTCGCCCTGCAGGTGCTCACTCTCACTCCACCATGCAACAAACTCAGTCTCGGACATCACATGCTCACCGGAAACCTTGCGAACGCGCCCCATCTCTGGGCGCAAGCTACAGACTGCTAAGGCCAAAACACTGCGCCAAGCGAAAATCTGAGAGAGACACCTTCGAGTCAAAAGCTCAACTGTAACCGACCAGTGAGTCAGGGGTGCCAGCGGTTTCAAACCGCTGAGATCTCGGGGCTGTATGAATCCTTCTCTCGATCTGAGGCACGTGTTCAGCCCTTCAGTCTACATTTAGTCAAACGACTGAGGAGACCTCAGCTGTGGTCATTTGAACCCATCAACCCGTTTGCCTGCCTGCACTTTCTGATATGCATATTGCTAATCATCGGGGACACAATTTGGGGGCAGTGTCGTTTTGCAAAGGTGTTGGCAAGAATGGATTCTCAAAATGTAGCTAGCGACCCTTTTGAGAAAATATTCCGGCTCATCACCAAAGCAAGAATGTTATGCCTTGAAGTTGTGCGAACTTCAGGTGGGTCCATACAATTTGCCAAATTCTACACCAAGCAAAGGACCCGTATTGTGCCTTCGCTCGTTTTAACATTAGGTGAGCTCGGAACAAACGAAGTGGCAGATTTCCCATGTGTGGTGGTTCGGGTATTTAGCATGAAAAGCCTGTGTTTTCCTTGCATATACCCTGGAGCAGGATCCCTAGGAGACCTTTCCAGTGAGAAAACCAGCTGCTGACTTACTGGGATTTGGAGTGGGTCTCGTTGATCCCTAGGCAGGGTTCCCTAGATTTTCCCGAACATCACCCTAACAATAACTCACCTATGGCCAAGATGGTGATGCTCAAAATCCACCAAGAGGGTTGGCAAAAAATATAAGGAAGCCCCCTAAGAAGCCAAGGTCCAACCAAGAGAAAGAAAATACCTGGACCCTGTTGAGAGGACCTGGGCTGTAAACCGCAACTCGCCCTGCCTGGGGACTTCTGCCACCGGCTCGTACACCGGCCTCCGAACTACCCTCACAGGACGGTTGCCCCTTCGGGGTCATATCCCCTTTGTGAGGGTCGGTCTGACTCAATGACACGACTTTGGCGTCGTCTTGCGTTGCTTTCGCGTTTCTTGCTGCATTCGCGCCATGTTTTCAGGGGCGCCGTGTGCCGCGGCAAATTTTCTGAGACTGAAAAAAAAAGTCGTTGCAGGGGCCAGGTATTTAGCCTGCCCCTCAATTTACAAATATCTTCTGGACTTCTGAGACACAGTTGTCCTATCCTGCGTCCATTTTAGGCGTTTCAAGCATGGATGGTGATGCCAAACGGGCCATACCCATGACTACTCCATCACGTTTCGGGGGATTAGTCATGCAATCTAGCACATGGCCGGAAAAAAAAGGAAGGAAACAAATCACATATTTTTCACAACCAGGCCGATTGGTCGACACCAACGACCAGCCAAGTTGTCAATATAGTTATTGCTGTGTCGGTAACCTCAAGCCCATAAACGCCAGCCATGTAAAGGAAACCCATAGCCAGACATGCTTGCAAAGCGGGGCAACTGTCTATGAACAAGAGTTACACACCTAACAAAAATGAGGCCTCCAAGACACCCAAGTAGATTGAGATCTTTGGGCCATGGCACAATTGCGGCCATAAGAGCAGCCATGATTTCCGGCGGTTTCATCGCCTGACGTCTGCCGGCTCGGAGATTCGCAGCCTCGCGGCTTTCGGGCTTCAGGCTCACCATTTTCAGGTTGGCCGGGGACATCAAAAGCAAGATGCCCCGCAATCTAAATCCCTATCTTGACATCACCCATATGGGGACCCGACACGGGATTGAACCGCTTGAGGGGTGTGTGAAAGGAACCAAAAGGAAACTGGGGATTGAGCCACTTGAGGGGATTGTGACAGGAACCAACTTGAAACTGGGTAATTAGGCCATGTCCTCCAAATTATAAAACCAAGACCACCACCAATATTGTGCGTTCATATGTGCGACGGTCAAACCATATTACATGGCTGGCTGCCATCGCTGGCACGTGTGTCGCTCTTCATGGCCCCCCTGTCTGCCGGATTCTTCCCGAAATCAGGGGCTGCCCAACCATGCAACGCGTCAAGCAGAATCAGGGGTGTCGCTTTTCCTGGCCCCCGTGTCGCTTACTACATGCTTTTATACAGTTTGGTCATGTCATGGCAGCCAAAGTACAGAACTCTTCATGGCGTGTTTTGACCCTTGCCAATATGAGCAATGGTCTCCCTGAATTCGCCGCACCTTGAGTTGCTTGTGATTCGCCATTTTGAACGCATCTACACTGGGTTTCCAACTGAAGAGCGTACATAAACAAGCAGGTGAGCTCAACCCCTGACGAGATAAGTACATGTTTGCCGTAGCATTAGCATGCAACTAGGTTTGTTGCACAATTCCGCCCTTTCAACACAACTTCTCTTTGCAGTGTGTCTTTGTCGTGGTCCCCTTTTCCGCGGACGTGCTGAAGGGAAACCAATAACACCACGAGATGGGTGTCGTGGCCATGTGGAAAAAATGCCTGGCACTTGGTTTCAAGGAAGTGTGGCCATCGAATGGATCTTTGCAACATTTCAGCCTGTAGTTTGTTTCCCTTGGTTACCCTGATTTGAGCGTCTCAAATTAGTAGACCCCGACAAATTGGCGGTTTCTCTTTGGCTTGCCTTTTTTGAGCTACAAAAAGGGCATCCTCAAAAAACAAAAATGATATTGGGGCAACGGACTTCCCTGTTTCCCATGCAAATCCACAGGGGGCTGAATATCTTGGTCCAAGCGGGGGCTACTTTGGAGGCTGATATCCCCTCGAAAAGGCCTCTCCAATCGCTCCAACTCCATTGATGGGGCTCGAATAAAAACGAATTGGTTCCGATCGCTTGCCCTCGAGGGACAATCATGTCTTTGTCGCATCCGCAAGAGACACCTTTGGACATGTGTCAAGAATCATGATTTATGCCGAACCGAACATCCAGGACTCGTCCTTGCGAATGTCGTTTCTGGAGGGTAGACCTTTTCTGGCTTGTACAGAAAATCAACAAATTTCAATCTGCTGATTTTGGGTGTTCCCCTTGAAGACGTGCCATGAGATCTTCAGCTTTGTGGCCTACCACGTCCAAACGGAAAGGCTCGGCAAGCGAACCGGGCTCCCGTACCCTCATGAATCGCGATCGATCGATTTGAGGAACCTCCCAAACCATGCTTTGGCACCAGTCGATGTAAAATTGTCTCCCTAACATTGCTCCGGCTCTACCATTTTTGCGATTCTTGAACCTGCACTTCGCTTGAGTTGTCCAGACTTGTGACAGCCAGTATGTGCAAATAGCATTTGAGCAGAGCCCAAAGCCATTCACGGTTGGTGCTACCAGCATGGCTATAAAGCCTGAACCCCATGAAGCCAGGTATGAACCGAACCATGAATCAAATTGACCTTTGGGGGTTTTGGGCCCTGCTCTACACATTTGCGACACGGCGACAGCACTCTGCGAGGCCCGTGCTGCCAAGTCCAACTTTTGGCCAACAAAAAACCAAGACTTCCTGAGTGGATCGTTGAGCAAAGACAGGTTGTTCGCCACTGCAATGATCCTGCCCCCCCCAAACCAATAAAACGAATGAAGCTGGTTGGAATTCACGTAAGTGTCCCGCACCCACTTCATCCCGAGTACCGAACAGAGGAAGTGCTGCAAGGTCTTTCGTGGCCAAAGAATGACTGGAATGTTCGAAATGGTTTCCGACTCCCAATTCGTTGTCCAATCCAGGGGCAAGGACACCACTACAACAAGAAAAACATCTTAAGGATCTTGCGGAGACAGCCATGCCTTTACTCGTCTTGCTCCCTTCGCCGGCGCTTGAGTGAAACTGGTGAAACTACATGCTCTGGCTGGGATTTGATGTTGGGGGCCTGCAGCAAGCCACGTGCAAGTTCCTGATAGCCAGCCCAGGCAGCCAAGTGCATGGGTGTTTTTCCGTCATGGTGAGCTTTGTCCTTGTCAGCGCCGGCTTGCAGCAGGCAACGCACAACTTCCAAATGGCCCCACCAGGCAGCCAAGTGCATAGGTGTCTTTCCGTCATGGTCGGCTTTGTCCTTGTCAGCGCTGGCTTGCAGCAGGCAACGCAAAACTTCCAGATGGCCAGACAAGGCAGCCCGGTGCATGGGTGTCTTTCCGTCACGGTCGGCTTTGTGCTCGTCAGCGCCGGCTTGCAGTAGGCAACGCACAACTTCCAAATGGCCCCACCAGGCAGCCAAGTGCATAGGTGTCCTTCCGTCATGGTCGGCTTTGTCCTTGTCAGCTCCGGCTTGCAGCAGGCAACGCACAACTTTCAAATGGTCAGACCAGACAGCCAAGTGTATGGGTGTCTTTCCGTCATGGTCGGCTTTGTCCTTGTCAGCGCCGGCTTGCAGCAGGCAACGCACAACTTCCAAATGGCCAGACAAGACAGCCAAGTAAATGGGTGTCCTTCCGTCATGGTCGGCTGTGTCCTTGTTAGCGCCGGCTTGCAGCAGGCAACGCACAACTTCCAAATGGTCAGACCAGACAGCCAAGTGAATGGGTGTCGTTCCGTCATGGTCGGCTTTGTCCTTGTCAGCGCCGGCTTGCAGCAGGCAACGCACAAATTCCAAATGGCCAGACAAGACAGCCAAGTGTATGGGTGTCTTTCCGTCATGGTCGGCTTTGTCCTTGTCAGCGCCGGCTTGCAGCAGGCAACGCACAACTTCCAAATGGCCAGACAAGACAGCCAAGTAAATGGGTGTCCTTCCGTCATGGTCGGCTGTGTCCTTGTTAGCGCCGGCTTGCAGCAGGCAACGCACAACTTCCAAATGGCCAGAACCAGCAGCCAACTGCAGTGGCCTCATCCTCCTTCCATCTTCATCGTCGGAGTCATGTGGGTCGGTGTCCGGATTCAGAGGCCTTTCCAGGAGGCCCACAACTCTTGCAAGGTCTCTGTTCAGCACTGCTTGCACTAGTGCTTTCCCGTCATCTGGCTCTGTCACGTAGGGCCGAATCACAACAGTCAGCTCTGCATCGATCCAATGGCTGTGTACTGAAAGCATTCTGTCCCCACAAACCAGCCCAAGCCGCCTGAAATTCTCCACCTTTAGCTGCCTGGCCAAATGGCGCCTGAGCAAGTCAATGAAGACTTCGCCCTGCAGGTGCTCACTCTCACTCCACCATGCAACAAACTCAGTCTCGGACATCACATGCTCACCGGAAACCTTGCGAACGCGCCCCATGTCTGGGCGCAAGCTGCAGACTGCTAAGGCCAAAACACTGCGCCAAGCGAAAATCTGAGAGAGACACCTTCGAGTCAAAAGCCCAACTGTAACCGACCAGTGAGTCAGGGGTGCCAGCGGTTTCAAACCGCTGAAATCTCGGGGCTGTATGAATCCTTCTCTCGATCTGAGGCACGTTTTCAGCCCTTCAGTGTTGTCAAACGACTGAGGAGACCTCAGCTGTGGTCATTTGAACCCATCAACCCGTTTGCCTGCCTGCACTTTCTGATATGCATATTGCTAATCATCGGGGCCACAATTTGGGGGCAGTGTCGTTTTGCAAAGGTGTCGGCAAGAATGGATTCTCAAAATGGGTTTGTATTTCTTTACGGGGGCCGGGCAGGAAGGTTTGAGTACGGGGTATGATTCGCAGGGATGATTTGCGGGTATGATTCGGGGTATGATTCGGGGGTATTCGCGGAAGCAGCAGCAGCAGCAGCAGTATAGACAGTTTTGTAGTAGCAGTCGTCGTCGAAGTAGTAGTACTAGTAGTAATATTAAAGTAGTAACAGTAGTAGTAGTAGTAGTAGTAGTAGTAGTAGTAGTAGTAGTAGTAGTAGTAGTAGTAGTAGTAGTAGTAGTAGTAGTAGTAGTAGTAGTAGTAGTAGTAGTAGTAGTAGTAGTAGTAGTAGTAGTAGTAGTAGTAGTAGTAGTAGTAGTGGTAGTAGTAGTAGTAGTAGTAGTAGTAGTAGTAGTAGTAGTAGTAGTAGTTAGTGATTAGTAGTTAGTAGTTAGTAGTTAGTAGTTAGTAGTTAGTAGTTAGTAGTAGTAGTAGTAGTAGTAGTAGTCGTAGTAGTAGTAGTAGTCGGAGTAGTAGTAGTAGTAGTAGTAGTAGTAGTAGTAGTACTAGTAGTAGTAGTAGTTGCAGTAGTAAGTAGTCGTATTGGCAGTAGTAGTAGTAGCAGTAGTCGTAGTAGTAGTAGTAACAGTAGAAGCAGCGACTGTAGTGGCGCGGAAGCTTTGAAGAGACTGGGCGCTGGCCTTGGCAAGGCAAGTTCATTGCGCGGGTATGATTCGGGAATGCTTCGCGGGTATGATTCGGCTTGGTGCAAAACGGCACTGATTACGAATGTAGTAGTAGCTGTGGTAGTAGTAGTAGTAGTAGTAGTAGAAGTAGGAGTAGTAGTGGTGGTAGTAGTAGTAGTAGTAGTAGTAGTAGTGGCAGTTGCAGGAGTAGTGGTAGCAGCTGTAGCATAAGCAGCAGCGGCTGTAGTGGTGCGGACGCTTTGCAAAACACTTGGCACTAGCCTTGGCAGGGGAAGCTCATTGTCCGGGTATGATTCGGGTATGGTTCGCGGGTATGATTCGGCTAGGTGCAAAACGGCACTGATTACAAACTCAGAATGATGTATGTAGTAGAAGTGAGTTGTAGCAGCAGCAGCAGCAGGAATAGTAGTAGTAGTAGTAGTAGTAGTAGTAGTAGTAGTAGTAGAAGTAGTAGTAGTAGTAGTAGTAGTAGTAGCAGTAGTAGTAGTAGTCGTAGTAGTAGTCGTAGTCGTAGTCGTAGTAGTAGTAGTAGTAGTAGTAGTAGTAGTAGTAGTAGTAGTGGTCGTAGTAGTAGTAGTAGTAGTAGTAGTAGTAGTAGTAGTAGTAGTAGTAGTAGTGGTTGTGGTAGTATTGGGTCGCGCTGGTGGTGGTTGTGCAGGCAGTGAACAACACAAAACAGTAGAAAACGGTAGAAGAACAGTAGCATCTTGCAGCATACGTTTTAAGGGGTATGATTCGGGGGTATGATTCGGGGTATGATTCGGGGGTATGATTCGGGGGTATGATTCGGGGGTATGATTCGGGAAGGTCCCACCTTCTGCCTTTTGAAGCAACTCAACACACCAAAAAAAAACAAACCCAAATGTTGCTAGCGACCCTTTGAGAAAATATTCCGGCTCATCACCAAAGCAAGAATGTTATGCCTTGAAGTTGTGCGAACTTCAGGTGGGTCCATACAATTTGCCAAATTCTACACCAAGCAAAGGACCCGTATTGTGCCTTCGCTCGTTTTAACATTAGGTGAGCTCGGAACAAACGAAGTGGCAGATTTCCCATGTGTGGTGGTTCGGGTATTTAGCATGAAAAGCCTGTGTTTTCCTTGCATATACCCTGGAGCAGGATCCCTAGGAGACCTTTCCAGTGAGAAAACCAGCTGCTGACTTACTGGGATTTGGAGTGGGTCTCGTTGATCCGTAGGCAGGGTTCCCTAGATTTTCCCGAACATCACCCGAACAATAACTCACCTATGGCCAAAATGGTGATGCTCAAAATCCACCAAGAGGGTTGGCAAAAAATATAAGGAAGCCCCCTAAGAAGCCAAGGTCCAACCAAGAGAAAGAAAATACCTGGACCCTGTTGAAAGGACCTGGGCTGTAAACCGCAACTCGCCCTGCCTGGGGACTTCTGCCACCGGCTCGTACACCCGCGGCCTCCGAACCCTCACAACAGGACGGTTGCCCCTTCGGGGTCATATCCCCTTTGTGAGGGTCGGTCTGACTCAATGACACAACTTTGGCGTCGTCTTGCGTTGCTTTCGCGCCGCGTGCCGCGGCACATTTTCTGAGACTGAAAAAAAAAGTCGTTGCAGGGGCCAGGTATTTAGCCTGCCCCTCAATTTACAAATATCTTCTGGACTTCTGAGACACAGTTGTCCTATCCTGCGCCCATTTTAGGCGTTTCAAGCATGGATGGTGATGCCAAACGGGCCATACCCATGACTACTCCATCACGTTTCGGGGGATTAGTCATGCAATCTAGCACATGGCCGGAAAAAAAAGGAAGGAAACAAATCACATATTTTTCACAACCAGGCCGATTGGTCGACACCAACGACCAGCCAAGTTGTCAATATAGTTATTGCTGTGTCGGTACCCTCAAGCCCATAAACGCCAGCCATGTAAAGGAAACCCATAGCCAGACATGCTTGCAAAGCGGGGCAACTGTCTATGAACAAGAGTTACACACCTAACAAAAATGAGGCCTCCAAGACACCCAAGTAGATTGAGATCTTTGGGCCATGGCACAATTGCGGCCATAAGAGCAGCCATGATTTCCGGCGGTTTCATCGCCTGACGTCTGCCGGCTCGGAGATTCGCAGCCTCGCGGCTTTCGGGCTTCAGGCTCACCATTTTCAGGTTGGCCGGGGACATCAAAAGCAAGATGCCCCGCAATCTAAATCCCTATCTTGACATCACCCATATGGGGACCCGACACGGGATTGAACCGCTTGAGGGGTGTGTGAAAGGAACCAAAAGGAAACTGGGGATTGAGCCACTTGAGGGGATTGTGACAGGAACCAACTTGAAACTGGGTAATTAGGCCATGTCCTCCAAATTATAAAACCAAGACCACCACCAATATTGTGCGTTCATATGTGCGACGGTCAAACCATATTACATGGCTGGCTGCCATCGCTGGCACGTGTGTCGCTCTTCATGGCCCCCCTGTCTGCCGGATTCTTCCCGAAATCAGGGGCTGCCCAACCATGCAAGGCGTCAAGCAGAATCAGGGGTGTCGCTTTTCCTGGCCCCCGTGTCGCTTACTACATGTTTTTATACAGTTTGGTCATGTCATGGCAGCCAAAGTACAGAACTCTTCATGGCGTGTTTTAACCCTTGCCAATATGAGCAATGGTCTCCCTGAATTCGCCGCACCTTGAGTTGCTTGTGATTCGCCATCCATTTTGAACGCATCTACACTGGGTTTCCAACTGAAGAGCGTACATAAATAAGCAGGTGAGCTCAACCCCTGACGAGAAAAGTACATGTTTGCCGTAGCATTAGCATGCAACCAGGTTTGTTGCGCAATTCCGCCCTTTCAACACAACTTCTCTTTGGAGTGTGTCTTTGTCGTGGTCCCCTTTTCCGCGGACGTGCTGAAGGGAAACCAATAACACCGCGAGATGGGTGTCGTGGCCATGTGGAAAAAAGGGCCGCCTTGTTGTTTGGCACTTGGTTTCAAGGAAGTGTGGCCATCGAATGGATCTTTGCAACCTTTCCGCCTGTAGTGTGTTTCCCTTGGTTACCCTGATTTGAGCGTCTCAAAATAGTAGACCCCGACAAATTGGTGATGTTTCTTTGGCTTGCCTTTTTTGAGCTACAAAAAGGGCATCCTCAAAAAACAAAAAACATAATATTGGGGCAACGGACTTCCCTGTTTCCCATGCAAATCCACAGGGGGCTGAATATCTTGGTTCAAGCGGGGGCTATTTTGGAGGCTGATATCCCCTCGAAAAGGCCTCTCCAATCGCTCCAACTCCATTGATGGGAAACAGGAAACGAATGCAGTGCCGAAATGGGCGGGAGAAACATGGATAACAACCATGGCAAGACGGAATGGTCGAAACTTGAAAGGATCACCATGTTTTCTTTTGAGCATTGTTGAAACAGGGTAAGATCCAGGATCCACTGCTTGGCTTCGCTTAAGATTCCTTTTTGCAGTTTGCTTCGCGCAGTCATGAAACTGTCTCATGTAAGTGGCGGTCGCTCAAATAAGGGAAACCTTCTGCCATGATCAAAAGACCTCTTTTCTTGCAGTTGGTAAGAACGCCGAAGCAGGAAGTTCAGACAAGCATCGTACAGGTTGTTTGTAAGAGAGCCATGATCGTCGCCCACACACGGAGTTGTGACCATGACATACACATGAGGTCCATTCAAATGCTCCCGAATTCCAGAAACACCAAAGATGGTAGTCCGGCCACCCAAACGGGTCTTTTGAACATGGAACATATTAAGCCTGTAGGTGATTGGTTCGAAAATTGCTTAGGCTGTCATGCAAAAACCGCAACAGAGCCATGGGTTCACATGGCAAACTCTCGATAGGAATCTTCCTCCTTGGTGAGCTTACCCGCAGAGAGCATTCTGCCCACGTAAATGGACACAAGCAGTCTGACTATTCGAGAGACCTCACATCAATTGCAAAACTGGGTGCCAAATAGGGGAGCCTGGAAAAATGCAAAGATGCTCCATCCCGTTTCAGCTTCCTTTCAGAATGTGACCCCTTTATCCAATACTGATTCAGAGCCGTAGTCAGGAAAGCTCATGGCTCTCTGATTCATGAATCAGTCTGTGAATCTAGCCGTGGCACATCTGCGGTTTTAACCGACAAACATGCGCTTGGTGAGAAAGAACAAGGACCGTCCAGGGCCTTGCTTGCGGCTCGGCCGGCGGTTCCCGCGGCCTTGCCAACGATCGGCAAAGTGCAGGGGGCGGGCGGGAATGTAGTATCATGTAGATGCAAGTATTGCAGTATTAATTTATTATATTGATCGATTCATCAATTGTTGGATTGGTTGGCTGGCTGGCTGGCTGGCTGGCTGGCTGGCTGGCTGGCTGGCTGGCTGGCTGGCTGGCTGGCTGCCTTGTGGCTGTCTGATTGCTTGCTTGCTTGCTTGCTTTCTTGATTGATTGGTTGATTGCTTTGTAAGACATTATTTTTTGGTAAACTGCCTTCATTTATTTGGCGTGTCGGCGGCAAGCCTGCACTATGCATGGGTGTCCTTTTGAGGAACCCAAGAAAAACCACTGGTTCCCTAGCTTTTGCACATGAGGATTTCCATCCTGTGAGCTTCTCCAAAGTTCAAGAGCCAGCTTGAAACTTGGGCACAACAGCTGGCTTGCTGTTGACCCCTGCAAAAAGCTTGACTTTTTGGGGGTTTAGTGGAAAACACCTTTATTTCCCAAAAAGTTAAAGTCTAAAGATCCAACCAATAGCAGTCAAGAGCGGTGGCCACTGGCAAAGTCCTGATGTGATTCAACCACACCATGCCGCGTGGACTCTTAGGGGGGCCAAGGTCTACACCAACTCCCGTTACGAACCTCAATTGAGGGATCCATAAAGACCTTGAACGTGGATGAGCTCGATTTATATATTTCAAGGTGATCTCCCAGTGGGTGCAGAAGAGCGCACGCTTGGCGATCTGTTTTATGCTTCTCCTTCGTAGTGGATTGGCCCAAACAAGTCAAACTCTTATGTTTGCCCTCTCGTACGATAAACGAGTCCGAGTCCGGTTAGTTGGGAGATTGTTTCCCGATGTTGGAAAAAGTGGCGAATGCGGACGGAATTCCCTCCCAGAGGCCCCCCCAAACACGTCGGCCGGGCCCTTATGTTGGTTCCATGGTAAGTCCAGAGGCCCTGCCCTCATAAAACGCAGATAGGAACCACCATTGGCTTTGGGGACAGGCCTCGCTTTTCAATTGGGAGGCCCGAGGGGCCAGTTCAATGCAAGCCTCTTGAGGTGGTTCCGAGCCTTTCAACATGCCGTAATTGAAAGGGGTTCCCTCAGTTTTGGAAGCCTCGATAAACTGGGCAACCGTACCACTCCATTTGGCTATGTCCCAGCCATACAAAGCTATAAGGCTATGTGCCCCCGATTTTCAGCAAGTGCCCTCTACTTCATGAGAATTCGGTAAGGACCCCCCCCCATTTCATGTTGGGAGCAAAACACGACAAACACCACACCAAAAACAGGAAATTTGGATTCTGCCTCATACTTAGTCGACTTCTTGAACAGAATATGTTGACAGGTTGTGTGAATTTCCCTTGAGGTGTGTGTATTTTGACAGATATTGGGCAAATTTAAAGTGAGCCCGCTCAGAGATATGTACAAAAGCCTCCCCAGCCCCCTTTGGCAGCACAAAGCTGGCTTTTGGCGCCTTCCCCCGGCCAACAATCACCAACGCCCATGAAAAGAAGCGAACTCCTGTTTTCCAAGCAAAGGTGCACCTATCCCAGGCAAAAAACACCACCTGAACCCTCAAAATTCCCTTAAAAATGGGTTTGACCCCCAAAATGATGGGGTGATGTCCCATTTTTCTGGGTAGTTTGCAGGCATACTGTTCACAGTTCAGTGCACCTTACTGTGAGTACAAAGTCAGTTACACTTCTGGTGCACTGTCTGAATCCCAGTGAAGGAGCCCTGATCCCCGTGGACTTGAAGAAATTTCATCGAGAAACTTCCCGTGGAATCCTTGGTCTGATTCTTTGGGGTGCCATTTGGGTGGTTTGAGGCTCCAGGTCTATTTTGAAGGGGCCCGAACGAATATTTCGGATGGGGGTCACAGGATTTCCCCTTCAAAAGTTGGACCTTATGACTCTATTGGTGTCCGGTTCGAAACGCTCGCTTGAGGTGCCAAAGGGAAACCTAGCCACAAGTTGGATCCATCCCAGGCCTCTCGGCTCCGATTGGCTCGGACATGGCGCGGTTTTGGAGCCGAGGCTCCAATTCGATGTATTTCGGGCCCTCAAACAGCTCTAGGGTTTTGAGACCGGGTCCCAAACACCAATTCCCGGGGGGTCTAATTTTCGGGACGTCGGGTCGTCCATTGAAAGCCGAAGCCAGGAGCCTCTAAGTCCAAAAGGCGTTTTTTCTTTGGGGGGGGGAGGGTAGTTGGAGGGGACTGAACAGAACGGACCCAGCAACTCGCCTCCAGGAAGGTTCCTCCTCTGTCTCCGTCATCTTGGAGGTCCTCGGCTTCAGAGGGCTGGGGAGGGGAGGGGAGGACTAAGAGATGCATTTTTCGGTGTCATTTTGACCTCTGGGAATCGTTTTTTGGACTACGGACCCTCAAAAAGCCGCGAACGACGTAGGATTCGCATCGGTGTTACCACGTCTGGTGGGTGAGTTTTCCTAGATGGTGCTAGTTTCAGCGTGGAACCTCGTGTTTTGAGACACACCAAGAAAATCACCCCCCCCCCAAAAAAAAATTAAAATAAATAAAATAAATAAATAAAACAAATAAAATAAATAAAATAAAATAAAAAATACCGAGGCGCAGGTCTCGCATCTTCTCAAGCAGCTCTTGCATCATGGCCATGTGCTGCTCCCTTCGTTTCGGCGACCCATGGAGCTCCTGAAGGGAGTCGTTCGGGTTTGCTTTCCACGCGGACGGGTGGGTTACCACTCGTCCAGCTCCTAGTGGTTAGCCTTGGGTCAAACTCCACTCACAAGACTTAGTGGGCTGCAACCCAGGTCAAACCTTTCTAACTTGAGGCAGACCAAGGAGCTCCCCAAATTCTATCTGGGATCCTTCTTAGCCACAGCAACGGGTGCAACGAACGAGGGTTGAAACAGGCTTCCTTTCAAGGATTCATCCAACATTCACCTACTCTACAAGGATTCGGATCCTCAAAAACTGCTGATAAAGGTGACGGTGGTGCTTTAGGCGTTCTGGAAAACTACGGCTCCTAAAATGTGACAGATACTCCACTCTTGGCATGCATTGCAACACTCTCCGGGGCAAGTTTGTGGCTTCTGATCATTGAAGCTTTCATTCGGGAAAAAATAACATGCGCTTTTGAGGGTACCCTGTGGGTCTGTGACAGATACCCCAACTTGTGCAACCTATACTGTAACAGGGATCCTTTCTGACCAAAAGGTCACAAGAATCACCATTGGCAACCCCAAGGTGCCGTTCCAACCAGGGTTCAAGACAACTGGATGTCGGTCCGGAAAGCCCAAATGAGGTGTCCAAGCTGTCCCAGGATGAACTCAGGGAGAAAGAAACTATCACTTTTTCACAGCCCACGGGGAAAGAAACAATGTTCACTTTTCAACTTGTCCAAGCCCGAAGTCCAAACACTTGGGAAGCCTAAAAACCTCAAAGGAAACTTCCAAGCGCGAACGCGACCCAACCCGCTCCTGTGTGCGCGACACAGCGCCTATCCGTCCATTCGATCGACGCGGATCAAAACAAGTTCACCCCTCACTCCAAACGAGTCTCTTTCAAAGAGACCAAGACTCCCTGCAAAAAAGGGCACGTCAAGCAGGGAACAGCCTTTTATATCACAACCTTCCCAAAGCCCTCAGCTGTGTTTAGGGTATGTGATGAATTCCTGACTAAACAAGTGATTTTGTCTATCCGTGAAAAACCCGGCTTTTCAAGATATAACCACTCAAGCAAGGCGGGAATTTGGAGTAGGGCGTGTTGAATCTGGGATACACATTCGGTTGGTACACACACGTTCGCAGGTTAGACAAACACAGGGACCAGGCGACCCAACAAACACGGGAAGACTTCACAAGCCCAGAGGCTCCCAGCGAGGTGTCCCAAACTAAAAAAAGGAGCCTCCCATGTGAAGGGTCCGCATCTAAAAGCTGGAGACTCTCGTTCTTCTTGCTCATGTCGTGGGCTAAAAGTTGTGATGCACAGACTGGAGCGTGCATGCTGAAGCTGATGGAATCCGATGTCACAATCCCCGCCATTGGGTGACCCTAAATGGACGGTTCTCAAATTAGCTGACCCCTTTCGGTTGGTACCTCAAAACAGACCCAAAAGGAAACCAACCATTCTAGGGGACCCTCATTTTGATAACCATCCACATAAGTTCTATCAAATGGGCTTCTTTCGGATGCTTTATATTGACATGATTGTTCTTTCATGCAAGCGATCGGAACCGGTTTGTTAGAACCTATGAGTCTCTGAACCCCACTCTCTGCACAAACTCTTCTGCGGAACCACCAGCCGCCGGCTATGCCCAAAGCCTTGTCCCCTTGTTTCGCCTGTCAACCCGTCCACCCCACACCGTGGACGACCTCACCGCTCCGACGGATCGACGCGGAACTCCGCGCCTGCGGAGCGCGCACGGCGCTTGCCCTGCGCCTTTGGCGCGGAGTCTTTGTTCCCCGGCCGGAGGCGCGAGGGCGTGTGGAAGGTGTTCAGCCTGCGGCTCGGATCAAGGCTACCCAGTTGTAACCCCGACATGCAAATGGGTCTTAGAAAAAATCCGAACATGGTTAAGCTCCTTTCATGAGCTCGCCATACAATTGCAGATTCTTGCTTGCTGTGTTGTCCATGTGTCCTTAGCCTTTGATGATAGGGAGGGAATTGCTCTCCAAGATAGTCTTGAATCCCTCTGCACTTGCGTGGGAGAGAATCCATTTTAGTTGTGCGGTGTTTTTTTGTTTTGTTTTTTTTGCCGAGAAGAGTACCGCCTGGTTGGAAAGGGAGGGTTCCTGCATGCCTGTTGGTGGAAGGGTATTGGTCCCATTTCTAGAGTTTTTGCATATCCCCCCTATCAAGCGGAACACCTTTGACATACACCCTCTTGTGCCCCCAACCCAACCCAACAATAACATGTTTACAGTCTGGTCCGCGTTTCCTGAGCTCTTGCAGATGTACAGCATGATGTCAAGACAGGTCCCAGCTCATATGTTTTATCATGTCATGCTACCTTCCGTAAGCAAACACATCTACCATCCCTTTTGCAAAACCAAAGCACTCTGGCCCCGGTTGTTCAGCAACTTGCAACAACGATGATTGGATGCTTCCCGAGAAAACCGGGCCGTTCCGCTCGGATCCCAGGGATTTCGCACTTTGTTCCAGCTCCTCCAAGCCAAGGAACCAGGAAATATCTCATTTGATCACAGGGACCGAAAGCTGAAGCCACCCCAAAAAATAGGCAGACACTGGCTGGTGCCTAGTGATAGCGATAACAGCATTGGGTTTGGACTGGATGTGAATTGGACTCCCTTTTTCGGTGGTCTTGCCTTTAGCAAAAAACACGCCGAATGAGATGTGAGTGCATATCACGAATGCCTTCTCGTCCTCCGCAACTCAACAGGCCGGTGATTCATTGCACCACCAGTATCCACATTCCTGCTTTTTGTTGAGAATATGTGCAAACGTGTCCCCATGAAACACATCCTGTTTTCGTCAGGATTTTACATCATCACTGATCAAGGCTTCGGAGAATCCAGGTTCGACTTGGGATTTGCAAGGGGAATTCTGGTTGGACTTGGGATTCGCTGGTTTTCAGGGTACCCTTTCTTGGTGCGGCAACTTGGGTCCCCTTCAGAAAGACAACCATAAATCTGACCCATGTGTTTTCTCATGGATCGGAGTGGAACATGGGCCTCAGACTTGGAGGTCATCCCCATGGCGCCTAACAACTACTGTACATGCTAGTTGTTCACTTTTGGGGAAGGGGATTCCTTGTTAGAAGTCCAAGCAATTTGTGTCTTGTTCCCCACACCTCCCCCAATCAATCATTTTGGAGATCTTCCAAGCAAGAGCCCCAGTCCCACATGTCTACACACATGCACGTTGCCATATTTCAGAACCCAAAGGAGGGGTGAGAACGGTACCAACTCAAGAAAGGGACACCACTCTCACGTCAGGCAATCCCGAGTACTTGAACATCATCTCGCCAGAAGAAAACCCACATTGAATGTGCACAACAGGCAAAGTCTAAAGGCACCTGCAAGACACACACACACACGCACACATAGCAACAAACACAGAAGCACAAAAACGCGCACATACAAACCCAAACACACACACAAACAAACAACTAAATCAATGAATGAGTGAACAAATAAGTCAATAACGAAATAAAACACACATACGTACATATACGCAGAAACAAATAAACAAACAAACAAACAAACAAACAAACAAACAAACAAACAAACAAACAAAACAACCAACCAACCAACCAACCAACCAACCAACCAACCAACCAACCAACCAACCAACCAACCAACCAACCAACCAACCAACCAACCAACCAACCAACCAACAAGCCAACCAGCCAGCCAGCCAGCCAGCCAGCCAGCCAACCAACCAGCCAACCAACCAACCATGACCAACCAACCAACCATGACAAACCAACCAACAAACAAACAAACAAACAAACAACCAAACAAACACACTCGCAGTGTTGTGGTAAACGTTGCAACCTTTTAGAACAAGGAGCGGCACCTTAACATTGCAGGATCTTGTAACAGGGCACATTGGGTGGGGGGTTAAACTTATTTCATGACACCAACATGTTCTGAAGCCAAGAAACGAGCTACCTGGATTTCTCCATGTCAATGGGGACACCCCTCTCGTTTGAATATTGGCCTCCCATTTTTGTTGAAGGGTCACGGAGACTCCATGTACACCCTGAAAGATGCTGCAAATTATAAATACTACCCAACACCCTACCAACCGTCCCCGACCGAAACTAACCAACTCTCAAACCAACCGTACAACGCCATCAACTTGAGCCATCACCGAACACAAAAAACTGGTTATAAAGAATACACCGGGTACTCATAAATACCACACCCCGAGAAAACAAAAAAAAAAGAGATTCCCCTTTCGCCGCGCCTCTGGGAGTTGTGCACTCGCGAGTTGAAGGAGCAGATGTCCGAGCCATTCCATAGGGATCGCATGGCTCAAGGTTTTCAAGCGGCTTGGAGACAAACGGATGAGCACATTGGAGCCCCAAACTGAGTGGTTTCCTTTTTGGATTTCCATCCACGCAAGGGTGCCCCACCCTCAAGAAATTCATGGCGAACTCGAACTCAGGGTACTAGCGCGGAGTCTTAGGATCCCAAAGGGTTGTTCGAAGCGTCCGATTCCTCCGGATATTCCGCTCGCCGCTTTCGAATCGGTTTAGAGAGGGGTTGTCGGCACTTATGGAATGGCTTGTGAAGTTTGGGACGCAGGTTGGGGCTTGGAATGCGCCAAGAACATGGTGAGTAGCCTTTGAAGGACAGAGCGCGCCGCAAAGCGCTGCGAGAGAGACCGGATCATGATTTTCCGTGATCCGCAGCGGGTCACTGCTACAAGGGAAACCGCCACATAAGGATCAAGGATCGATGTTCAAAAGAGAACAGCTGGCATGCAATGATCCAAATGCAGGATCCTGTCAAAGCCTTGGGGACAAGAGAAGAGATACCGTACGGAATCTACCGTCCAAGCTCTAGAAAGGACCGTTCCAAACTGTTCGGACTTTTCATTTCAAGCTACAAGTCGAATCCAGCTGAACATTCAGCCAGATACTTAAGCCCCTAAAGTCTTGGCACCTTAAAACTGACCTTTTTGAGGTCTTTTGGAGGTCCAAACCCGAACCGGAGATGGCAAGCAGTGCATCAGGAAACGCAAAGGAGGACAAAGAGGTTCGCCTGGCGCAGCCTCAAATGTCCCGTGTTTTTCGTCTGCGGAAAGCACGTTCAACTGAACCCTCAAAATTCCAACTTAAAAATGGGCTTGACCCCCCAAAATGATGGTGGGTGATATCCGATTTTTGTGGGTAGTTTGAGGGTCCAGGTTCTTGGCAAGTATCTCCTGTTCTGGTCAGGGGCCAACATTATACCCTAAAGCAAGCAGGGGTATCTGGTGGTCTCATGGACTTGTGGCGCTCGCAAACGGCAGAGTACGAGAATCCTCAGCGCCCGGCAGGGATAAAGCCGCGCCCGGGTTTCCGCCCAAAGAAACCCATGGCACTTGCGCGAGGCGAAATGACCCGAAACTGCGCATGGCCCAGATAGATGGGCTCTGTCTTAACTTAGCTTACTTCAAGGGTGCTGGGGCTTGGCATGGAAAACGAGGGGCTTAGCATACTACACCCCGAGTTGCTTTAGGGGTGTCAAAAGGACTATTTTGGGGCCCCATATTCTGTCAGTGATTCTATCAGGACCCATAAGGGTACTGAAGACATATGCTTGGAGGAGAACCCAGAAAAGGATCCAAACACCCGCCTGGTTTGAAGGACTGCCTAGGGGCAGTACCTTGATTCTACTTGCAACATGACGTATGTCTGCAAGGGCTCTCCATATTTTCCAAACACCAAGTCACCTCAAGGAAAACTCTGGCCCGTCATGATGTGAAAAAACCCACGGGAAATGGAAAAGCAGACCGCACGGATTCCATTGGCAAACCCGAGCAAGGGAACCCATCAAGGGTCTGCAGGGATGGTGAACCTGTCAGGGTCCCATTGTCCCATTCAGCCATAGTAATCGAGAGAACCAAGAAACTAGTTGAAATCAGGAAATCCAGTAACAAACTACCCTAACAAAATAGTTCAAATCACCCCAACTTGAGCAATATACAATTTAAAGAAAGCATGGCATGAGGTCACCAAGGGGATTTCCACCCTCTCAAATTCCACATGAAACATGGCGAAGGGTTACCTACTATACCCACGAAAAATCAGATTGGGCTGTTCAAAACGGAGGGCTGGCCAGTCCTAATCCAAAATCCCCCCTCCTACCCCTCCCCTCTTCTGCAACCCAAAACAACACTTGAGGATTACATTTGAAGTACGGGTCCCTCGTTTGGACCCCCCCCCCAGAACAACCAGGAACATACAGTTCGAATCTCGAAACCCACAACTCGTCTCAGGCCCGGGACACATCCTCAAAGGCTTAAACCGAAACCCAGCAACCCAGCAACTGGTCCAGGTAGCATATAAAAAGAAAGAAAGAATCGCTTTCCAAACATCTCACAGTCCCCTTCCCCTGGCTCAGCGCTTCGGCTCAAGCTTGAGCCACAGCAGGCTTTACAGGTCTCTCGGGCCAAAGCCTCCTCCATACCCTGACCTCTCAACCAGACTGATCTGACCCACAAAAAGATAGCTCTTTGCTGGCTGAATGGGAAAAATGGAAACCTGAAAAGGCGCAAAAATCGAAATGGTCTGGCAGTTTGAGGTCTTTGGGGGCAAGCCCTCATAGGGTGTTGGACTAGGGAATCATGTGTCCCTTTCCCCCGCCCCCATTCCAGAACAATAGCCCCAAACTGAGTCCTCACCCCTAAGCATGAGAGTTCATCGCACAATTCACATCCCCGGACCCTCAAACTGCCCCTTTACACAAACAAATGGCCCCCAAAAAAGTTGGTTGGTGATTTCTCTAGGGTAGTTTCAGGGTCCAGGTACGACAAAAAGCCAAAAGAGGGTGGGGCATCGAAGATTTGGATGAAGAGGCAACCCCCGGAACTACCCCCCGAAAGCTCCACATCCTTGTTTTGTTTTGTGTTGTGTTTTCATGTTTAGAAAACACTGGCTATTCATGGCAAAAAAAAACACAACTATGCTTAGACAAACACACGTCTGTTTTCATGGTAGATACCACCTATGTTTGGAAATCACAAGCTTTATCAAATAAATACCACCGTTTTCGAGTCAGGGGTCGACATCATACCCCAAAAGCAAAGGGTAGTTGACGTGGATGGTTTTGGCCCCCCAGCAACAGAACCAACAAAAACTAAAAGCTGAAACACACATGCCAAGTGAAGTAAGCTTCCATTTGCTTGAGTCCACGGCAACAAAGTGTATGTCCAGTAGTGACAGATTCCCAAGAAAATCCACAGAAACAAATCACACATTCAAGCAAACCAAGGCTGTGGGGAATGACCACTTCTATGATACAACAGAAAGGGCTTCCCAACGACTATTTTGTTCATATAAAGGTGGATTCCCTTGTATCACAGAAGTGGGGAGAAACCCCTTGATCCCACAACCCTCAAGCAAACGGAAGGATGTGGCAGGGAGCCGCGCGAAATCGGAGCGTGCACAGTGTCCGGCCTCTCGTTGCTGTCGCTGGAGCGAGTGGATCTCCCCCAGCAGGAGCTTCTCCTGCTGAAGCCTGGGTCTGGAACTCCGCTATGCGGCGAGGAGAAACTTGCAGCTAAACAACGCGCAAAACAAACACTCAAGCTTAAGTGGGGGTGAGTGGGTGTTTCCCCAAGGGCAGAGTGGATACATCCAAACATACATGCAACACAAACCTGCTCACTTCCTAAGTGGTAGAGTGGATTGGCTCCAAGACGTAACCAAAATTTAGGCATCCTCTTTTTGTTTGCTGATATATGCACTTTCACAAGGTGACCCACGAAATCGAGTTCCACACGTACATCAAACATAACCTGCTCACTTCCTCAGTGGCAGATTGGATTTTCTCCAACAAGTAACCCACACTATTGCTTGCCCCCCAGGTCTTAAACACACAATGCAAAATGAGCAGCACACAAAACCCATTGACTGTTGATTCTACCAAGATGGTGGGCTGCATATTGCCCTTACGACAACCCCAAATGCAACCCCCTGCCAAAAAAAATCCAATGATTTCGGGCATTCACCTAATTTATGTCCACCCGACCAGCTATCAGCTGGCGAATCTGATTCTCGCCGCCCAAACTTTGCAAAACTTGTCATGTCAGCAAACACCCAGTAAACATGAACAGAAGCAAAGATTCAAAAAGACGAAACATGTAAAACACACGCCAAGAACAGTGAAGTTCACCTCCTTTAGCAACCAGGTCAAGAGGGTGGTCCTCCGCCAAACCGCTCAAGGAGGAAATGCTTGGCGTGCCCATGTTTTTCCTGGAGACACACCTGGGTCAAAGTAGATGGAGATGGCCCGATTCCCATTGTGTGGGACTGAAAGAAGGATGACTACACGAGACCATTCGTTGAGCTCGTGCCATCTAATGTTGGCCTCGGATTCCGGTGGTCCCCAACAGAGAACCAAGCAGCTGAAGTCTCCATGACCCCTTAATCTTAGAGAAGTGGCCTCAATTTTGAAGGTCATGGAGACTGCAGGTGACTCCAGAACAGAACTACAAAACTATCTAGACCCTCAAACTACTCTTACAAATAAGGCATACGGATATGGACCATTACTTTGGGTTGGAATACCCAATCTTTCTGCGCAGTTGAGGGGACAGGCAAACACACAACTAGACGGGCTTGCAACTCAAAAAATGTGATCCGACCCTCAACAAGTGGGTGGATCTTCCTTTTGGCTTCCACATTACCCAGCCCAAAAGGCAACCTTTAAACATGGGCGACATTACCCGAACATGCTGGGGTGATATCCACCATTTCAAAGGGTAGTTCTTTCCAGGTGAAAACTTGCTGATGCTCAGCAGGGAATAGGGGAATTCCATGTCTCATTCCCTGCATCTCTCGCACCAGGAAGAAAATTGCACAACAAAAGTGGAAGCCTTGTCGAGTTGATAGATCATCTCGGGCCCCCTGCTCCAAGGTTTCTTCGTACCTGAGCAAAACCGGCTGGGTCCGGACTTGGGAGCAGTTGCCCATATTGCAAACCGGCTTGAAGCACACTTCTCGCACGACCGCGTTGCTGCTCCCTCACAGCTCTTCAGCAACCGATCTCCCATCCAAGCCCGGGTTTTTCTTACACGGTTGGATTCCCAGCTCGAAGCTCGGAAGACGCGAGGCCGCGGCATCTGTTTCTCGAGGCGTTGGATCTGAGCTGCGATCTCCTGTCCGAGCCAATGGACTCGTTCTCAGGGAGTCGGGAGGCCTATCCCCGGAAGCCCTGGATTTGGAGCTTCGGGCGCCTGGAAAATCCGGAGGTGCGCGACACCCGTAGTTCGTGTGGGTTTCCGGGGTCAAGGCTAAGGGCCAAAGAACCCTTGGCAGTACGAGACCTGGATCCCATCCCCACTTGCGGTGTCCCTGTCTCTTGGCGCTGGACCCAGGCCAACCAGCGGTCTATCGATTCCATCCACAGGAACCAAAGCTC